AAGAACTCAAAAATGCCCTTGATTTTTGCATAGTCTGGAACTTTCCCTGCTAATAATTGATCAGTTGTGATATAGGGGTAAGAGTCATGGGAAAATAAGAGAAGTTGTTCATTCACTCTGGTGTTAGCCATAGAAAGCATTAAGGAAAACCTTCTCATGGAATATCTCACATTCATACTAATCAATATCTCATTTGTGTAATTAACTTTTTCACAATGTCCTCACAGTGAATTTCCAAGACACAAAGCAGATCCCATCCCCAACTGAAATCTCCCGAACAATTTTTCTTGCCTAGAGGACTCCATATAAACTCCTTCACTTGTCAACTAAATTTCTCCATGCCCTACCCTCCCCTCTGGCCTTACCTCTCTCTGATCCAGCAGCAGAGAGCTCCGTACTTTCCTCTGAGCCCAGGCTGTTTCCTTAACATAGAATGCCCTTGCTTCTTCCACTCCTGTTCATCTGATTCCCATTTCCATCCCGCCCGAATCCTGGATTTCTCAGTATTAGAACTCTGGGCATTTTGGATGGAAAAATTCTTTGTTGTAAGGAGCTATCATGGGCACTATACAATGTTTATAGCATCCCTAGCTTCTACTCACTAGATGCCAATAGCATCTCTCTTCCCCCAGTTGTGACAATTGAAATGTCTGCAGATAGTAACAAATGTCTCTTGGGGGCCAAAAGTTCCCCCTGTTAAGAACCACTGCTCTAACTCCAAGTAGAAAACTTGCTTCTAAGAGAAGCATGGCATAACTTCCCCATTGAATATGCAATGCAGACCATTCTCTACTTACAGCACCTTGTATTACAATGCAACTGCACCACAGTAGCCTATGTTTCTTTTTCACTCCCGGTAGCCAGCACCAGGTCTTCTCATTCACGTTTGAACTTATGAATGAGTACCTAGCCTACTGCCTAACTTATATTATGCACTCAACAAATGTATGCTGAACAAATGTTGAGCAAATACCAGGAACATATGAAGAAAGATTGAATGCCAGAATTCCAAATTTCTTAAGCTTATAACAACTCACACATTGCTAGACAAATACTCCGGCCAGAAAATAATATGCTTCAACATTAAAAAGAGTAATGAGACATTTTAAGCCATCTAGAAGTCTGAGTTTAAACTATAATAGAAATTTAATGTGAACACCACCACTTTCAAAACACAACTGTTGCAATAATACCTAATCCTTCTTTCAAGTATGTTCATAAACATTGAGCTGAGCTGGCCTGTTATGCACTTCTTGGCAGTTCTGTAGTAGAACTGTTCAGTAATGGGAGATGTTAATTAATTACACCATAAAATAGAATTACAATTAATTGTTAATTTAGGTTTTAAAGTGACAAACTTTAAAGGCTAAAAATAGTCTTTGATCTTTAAAAGGCTTCTTAATGAGGGCAATATACTTTAAGTACATCATTAGTTTAAATGTTCAAATTGGGTCTAGAGACTGCTAGAGTTAAGCAAATATCTATTCCAATATGTTAAATGTTTATGGCTCGGTACAGGGACAATTAATTGCTAATCAATGGGCCAAATCCTAGGTGAGGTCAGGTTCTGAAATAGGAGGACGACAATAGTAAATTCGATTTAGAGCATTTTGATGTGATCTGTAAAAATCACAGACAGGCAGAGACTAAAAGAATAGCAAGAAGGCCAAACCAGCAAAAACACCCAGATAATTAAGATATTACTCATTTGGCTAATAGTGGTTTTCAAGGGTGCCCTTTGTTTAGATTAATGAGCCATAATTTCTAGAATTATACTCACATGTCTGTAGTTCAGTTACTTAAACATATAATTCAGGATATAAAATAGTAAAACTCAGCATAGCTTAACAGGCAATAACAGTTGGTAGCTAAGATTAGCAATATTCATAATGTAATTTTTAAATATGGTCTTGATCTATCATATAGTACTTTATTTTCTCAAAATTTGGAAGTAAACCCAATTTATTACTTTAGTAAGCATCTTTTTAACAATCACACAAACCTTTCACCCTCATTGTAGGTAGAAGAAGCAAGTTGTGCTTATCTTGTAAATGTTGTCTGTCTAAGTATCAATAGCTTTCACTAACCTTTAGTTCTGGTGAGAGATTCCAGAGACAGAGCTGACCCTCTTGACTTCCAGTCACAATCATTTGCTGGTCATCGGTGATCATGATGGCAGTGATGCTGTGGGGAGGGGCCTTCTTTCCCCAGAGTGCCACTGCCTGCAGGGAAGGCCTCATGCTGGATGAATCCTGGACACACACAGAAAGAAAGAAGTATACACAGTCACCATTCCTAAATTTGGGGAAACTGATAATATTACAAAGTGGATTTATAATGATGCAAACTTTAATGATGTGTTCTCCCAGGGCTATGGAAAAGGGTGCTTCCCCGTCAATTAGAGGAGACAGCAATCTTCAGACATCAAAATTACTGTGCCCACTGCTAATTCATCAAAGAAAAATGACTTTTCTTTCAATTTCTGACTATTGATGCTGATAAGGAGAAGATTAGTGATAGTCTACTAACTCCACACCCAACTCTTCCTATGGCTTGATCCCAACCTGCTCCAAAGCCCTACTAGGCCTCTCAAGAAGAATAGTGCTATCCACATAGTATAATTTGAAGACAACTGTGCAGACTCTTTCTCTCCACAACGTCACCTCTTCTAGGTAACAAATACCTGAAATTGCTGAATTTGCTAATAAAAAGTAGATCTTTTCCATCAAAAAAGTGTTTCCTAGTCATCAAAGATTCATGATTTCTGCCATATTCTATTTTTAATATCTTTAATTGTACCATTTTTGCATTTGGCATCTTCCTAAACAATAATAGTCATAAAATGATTACCTTCATGTGTTAGTCACAAGAGTTAAAATGAATACATAATTATTCAAAAAATGCTGCCTGTGACCACCCAGAACACCACCCAGTGATGTGTGCATTACATTTTGTGTAATACTGAATTAAATATTCTCCCCAAATAGGCATTGATTTCTGAAATACAAATAATTTGTGGATGCAATTTGGTAGTACATATTTAATTTCATTTAAAATGTCAAAGATAGAAGAGAGAAAGAAAGTACCAAGCATACTTCCCACATTTGTTTTGAGAAAGTCAAGAAAATGAAAACCTCTGTCCTGTGGGATTTCTGGTACTAAAGTATCAAAATAGTAAATACCAATATAAATGTAAAAAACTGATGGTACATGTTATAATGTCAATCATACATGTTTGCACACACAGAGACACATACATAAACATGGGTATGCACTGACACCATGAACACATATTTTACTTATAGTTCCGTTGTTTGAAATTTAGTACCTAGTTCCTCATGGTTCACTCTTGGGCCTACACCACTCCTTCCCATCCCCCAGCAATGCCATGCCACTGAGCCAAGTAAAGAGAGAATCTATGTGCCTAGGGGAGGAAGAGTGAAGTGACTGTAGGACTTTGCATTGAAACTCAGGGCCACCAGAGGAACACAGCACAGGGCAGAATTCTGCCAGTGCCCATTTAGACCAGCCAGGCCAGAGGGAAATCCTCTACTCCAAACTCAAGTTCCAGATAGCCCCACCACAGGCTGACAAAAAGTAGCCTGGGGCCTTGAATAAATTCATAAGGTAGTTGGGCCACAGAGGCTGCAGACCTTGGGCAATTCCTGAAGTTGTGCTGGCTTGGAGCCAGTGGACTTGGAGTACACACCACCCAGTGAGACAACAGTGGTGGTGGTGGCTAAGCCAGTGCCTGTGTCACATCTCCCCCAACTCCAGGCAGTTCAGCTCAGGGAGAATATTCTTCCACTTGGGAAGAGGAAAGAAAAGACTCCAGAGGACTTTGTTTTGCAACTTGGATATCAGCTCAGCCACAGTAAAGTACCAAGCAGACTCCTGAAGTCCCTAAGTCCAGGCCTTAGTACCTGGAAGGGATTTCTGGACCAACTCTGGGCCAGAAGGAAACATACTACCCTGAAGGGAAGTACTCAGTTCTGGGAGGATTCACCACCTTCTAGGTAAAGAGCCCTTGAGCTTTGAATAAACATCAGAGGTAGCTAGGCAATAGTTACCATGGGCTTTGGGTAAGACTGGGCTGGTTTCAGGTGTGACCAGGCACTGATGGCCATGAGGGCGTGACCACGTCACTCGTCCCCAAACTCCAGCAGTCTAGTACAGTGAGTAAAGGAAGAGAGTGAGAGACTTTACCTGGTAATCCAGGGAATTCTCCCATATCTAACCCAGGTCCACCAAGGCATTACTACCAGGAGTCTGTGAAAGTCATAGCATTACTGGGCTTTGGGCACCCCCAGTGCTGATACAGCTGCAGTAACCAAAGACTTAGATCACCATACTCAATTCCTTTTAAACATACAGAAAGACTTCTCAATAAAGACAGGTTCACATAAGCCAGACTATGAAGATTGAAACAAATACCTGACTCTTCAATGCCCAAGACATAGACGAACATCCACAAGCATCAAGAACATCCAGGAAAACATGACCTCACCAAATGAACTAAATAATGTACTAGTGACCAATCCCAGAGTAATGGAGATATGTGACCTTTCAAACAAAGAATTAAATATAGCTGTCCCGAAGAAGCTCAATGAACTTTAAGACAACAGAGAGAAGGAATTCAGAAGCCTATCAGAGAAATTTAACAAAGAAATTGAATTAATAATTAAAAAAATAGAAATTCTGGAGCTTAAGAATTCAATCAACAAACTGAGAAATGCATCAGAGTCTCTCAACAGCAGAATTGACCAAGCAGGAGAAAGAATTAATGAGCTTGCAGACAGGCTATTTAAAAATATACAATCAGAAGAAAAAAAAGGATAGGAAAGAATGAAGCCTGCCAACAAGATCTAGAAAATAGCCTCAAAAAGGAGTTATTGGCCTTAAAGAGGAAGGAGAGAGAAAGCTTGGGGTATACAGTTTATTCAAAGAAATAATAACAGAGAACTTTCCAAACTTAGAGGAAAACATCAATATTCAGGTACAAGAAAGTCATAGAACATTGAGAAGATTTAACACAAATAGGGCCTACTTCAAGGCATTTAATAATGAAGCCCACAAAATTCACGGATAAAGAAAAGGTCCTAAGGTAAGCAAGAAAAAAGAACCTACAGAATCCACAAAAGTATTTGGAAACAACCAATCTGACAAGGGATTAATAACTGGGATATGTTAATACAAGGAGCCCCAATAAATCAAATAATCTTATTAAAAATGGGCAAAGGATATGAATAGACATTTCTCAAAAGAAGACATAAAAATGACCAACAGGTATATATGAAAAAAATGCTCAACATAATTAGTTATCAGAGAAATGCAAATCGAAACTATAATGAGATATCATCTCACCCCAGTTAAAACGGCTTTTATCAAAAAAGACAGGCAATAACAAATGCCGGTAAGGATGTGGAGAAAGGGTAACCCTCACATTGTTGGTGGAAATGTAAATTGGTGCAACCACTATGGAGGTTCCTCAAAAAACTTAAAATAGAACTACCATATGACCCAACAATCCCACAGATTCAATTGAGCATATATCCAAAGGAGGGGAAATCAGTATATCAAAAAGATATCTGTACTTTCATGTTTATTGCAGCACTATTCATAATAGCCAAGATTTGGTCTCAACCTAAGTGTCCACCAAAGGATAAATGCATAAAGAAATTGTGGTACATATATACAAGGGAATATTATAATATATAGGCACAAAAAAAGAATACAATCTTGCCATTTGCAACAACTTGGATGGACCTGGAGAAAATTATGTTAAGTGAAATAAGCCAAGCACAGAAAGACAAATCTCACAAGTTCTCACTCTCATGTGGGAACTAAATATCAAAAAGATATTATGGAGACAGAGAATAGAATGATGGTTACCAGAGGCTAGGAAGGGTAGCAAGGTGGTGGGGGGAAAGTGGGGTTGGTTAATGGGCACAAAATATAGTTAGATAATTATAATAGACAGAGTGAACAATATTTGATAACACAACAAAGTGAGTATAATCAACAATAAGTTAGGGTATACTTTAAAATAACTAAAAGAGTGGAATTGGAATGTTCCTAACACAAAGAAATGATAAATACCTGAGATGATGGATACCCCAATTACCCTGATTGGATTAATTCACATTGTATGCCTGTATCAAAACATCACATGTACCCTATAAAGATATACAACTATTATGTGCTCATAATAATGAAACATAAAATAATTAAATAAATAAATCACCACCCTCCCCCCAACCAAAAGAATCTAGTGGTTCTATGTGCCCATATTTGCTAAGTCACTTGGCAATATAATATTAGATTTTAAAAATCAAGATCCAAAATTGAATAGCCTATAGAATGTAAACATAACTAGGGAGAAAAAAATATTAATGACAAATATTATGAAATATAGATGTTAAATGAAAAGACATAATATTTACCTAATACAAGCTCCCAAAATGATAGAACCCTTTCCTTTCCTGGTTAATTCCATCCTAAAGCCATCAGGTAGAACAGAGCATGAGTGGAGTGTCAAAGCTCAAATAGTGTGAGGAGGGTATCTATACAGAACGGCAGTGGAGTCAGAGCCCAGGGAGGTTGAGTAGGGTGTCCAAATGGGGGCCAGGGGCAACAGCAGGGGCAGGGGCAACTCTCTGTAACAGAGAGTTACAGAGTCCAAACAGAGTGAAGGGAATAATGTACAAAGGGCTGTCTGATACTGGGCGTTGGAGCTGCAACAAGTGAGGAAGGAGCTCACATATGAGGAACCTCAACAGGGGGTGTCACAAGCCTAAGAGGACTGAAGACAGTGAAGGAAGTAGCCCTGGTATGGGAGGCCAGAGCCTGAGGAGGATGAGGAGGGCATTCACTGACAAGGATAGCATGGCACAGAGTATTGGAGAACAAGGAAGATAAGGAAGGCAGGCACACTGGGGGATGTTCAGCATCCTCTATTAGATCTCTGGTGGGGTGAGGAGTGCTACTGCCCAAAAGTGTAACCAGACATAATAAAGAAATAGATATAAGATCACATCATCAGCAAAGAGTGGTAGTTTGACCTCCTCTTTCCCCTTTTGCATACCCTTAATTTCTCTTGCCTGATTGCTCTAAGATATCTAGCACTATGTTGAATAGCAGTGGTAACAGTGGGCCTCAAAGATTCCACCAAGAGACTCCTGGAATTGATAAATAAATTCAGCCAAAGTCTCAGGCTACAAAATCAATGTACACAACTCAG